AGATACAATTTGAGCTTGGATCGGAATAGCTGGAAGTTATCAGCTTCCACTAAGTCTCTTGGTAAATTATTCCATAGCTTAACTATTCTAATGAAAAAAGAATGTTTGTAACAATTGAGTTTGGCAGGTTTGATATAAAGTCATAAATACCTCTCTCAGCTTTCATCTTCGTGTAAGCAAAAGCCCACAGGCAAAATATTACATATTTACAAAAGCGAAACACATAAACCGCCAAATGGGCGCTCTCAACTAAGGAGGTCTTCGAAAAAATCGTACCCAGGCTCTCTATGTTATCGGCCAAAAGTTTACATCGGAGTGAGTGACATATTTGCATATTCTGCCCCATAACAATAGTCGTTTCTACGCATCGCGTATCCACGACTAATAAAACGACGCGCGCGATGGTCCTGTCTAATTCCTATTGAGCCATCATGTTAGAAATGCCGATTTTGAAACTACACGACCGATTACTCCCTGAATTGTACTCCACTCGGTCCAATTAGTCTTACTATAAGTATGCTAGTCAAAGTAGATTATTACTGCGAGTAGTTCCTAAAAAAAATTATCACCGATTGTTGGTTAAATAAAAGCGAGGTTAACAGTAACGGAACTCCACCGGATGAGAGACAATGAGACAACGCTCATAAGACTATTTTTCTAACCAGCTTTGAATCTGAGTATCCCAAAGTTAAAATCAAAAGTCGGATTTGTAACAACCAGCCCTTCGGAAACAATGAAACAGCTGAAAAATAGAGATTGTTCAAAGGGTATCTTGGCATGAAAAATCCTGCATCGCCTGATGTTTTTTATGTTTCAGGAAAGTTATAATTACAAATCATGCAAGGAGATAAGAGCAGACATTAACGATTCTCTGAGCGGCCTGTACTCCATTCAGCCTGTTCTTGGTGGTAAAGTTATCACTGTCTACTGTGAAATGGCGATTGCCGGAGGTGGCTTCACTTTTTTTCCCTAGAACAGCCATCCGGGGTATTGAAAGCCAGCAGATGATCTCCGAGCTGTTTATTAATCGCACTCTGATGGAACTCAACCTTACACGCTTGTACAACAGCTGCCGGAATATGGACAACATCTACTTGGAGCTCGTGTCAACAATTATGACGGATATACTTCACCAGTCAATAGTCACTTGGGAGACTACTTGTTGCTAGGTAACAAAACTATTGTTCCTCGTATTACTTAACTCCTTAAAAACACATTAGTTACTGTAGAACTCTCTATTTAGTCCTGTAACGACTTTTAAAAGCTTTTCTTTCACCAGGGATTCTTCCTCGTGATGTAGCAGGCGTAAAAAAAAAAGGGTCTTGGGTTTCAGTCCAATGGAAAACCTCTGCGCTACGCAAACTGCGATGGCTCGAAAGATAACCTTTTTGCCTTCCTGCCTAACCATTCCGAGCTGCCTCCAAGCGACCGCATTGCTGATAATTTGATCTACGAGCGACAGGGAATGGCAGTAAACTGGCGAAATACCGCTGTGCCACCACCTTCAGGGCGCACCATGCCAAATGAGTTTTTCTTCCTGACAGAAGTGCATATAGGAGGATGCGGCTGTTACACTTCCAGTGACCGTTGGACAGACGCAAATGGGACTGCCATTGGATTTCGTTAAGCTTCAAAGGCGTAGCGAAATACGTCAAGTTACCAAGCTTAGATAAAAGGTTTTAAAAGCCTGCTGATTAAGGTGAGGCCAGATGACTTCCCACTAGCGCAGCATATACATATATCAGCTAGTTTGATTAATCTCCATTAAGTGCTAGTCACATGAAAACATCGAGAACTTTTATCGTCTAACCTCGTCTTGTAACTAAGATTACTCCACCTTGAAGTATTAGGGGATCTTTGCTGACGTCATTGTATACATTTGTGCTTCATCAGCACACCAATTTAGCTACCGAACGCAGCATGTTAGATATAAATTGACCCCAAACAGTTGAAGAGCTTATAAAACGTAGCATATGTTGAAAGTTCAACACTTTGGGTGTAACATGGAAGGTGAAATTGTCTTTCAAAAACTGCAAGAGTTCTGGGTGGCAGA